AAAAAAAAAAAAAATCCAGAAACCAAAATTATCCACTCTGTTGATTTGAGAATGAGTTAGACAAATTTTTATTGAAATGGCGCTTAATTGAAATGGAAAAAAGCTTGCCTTTTTCCTAAAAAAGATGCTAGTGATAGATATCAAAACTAACAATAAACAATCAATTCTTAAAAACCAAGCTTCTAAATCGAAACCCAACGAGGAAAAATGGTTAATTTACAAATGGGTATGATTAAAATCAACATTAAACAAAAATTCCAATGAAATGGAGAATTTTTCAAATAGATCTAATAAAAACCCACATTAAACACGGAATTGTACAGTTGTAAAGCCAACAAGTCAAACAGAAAAAGGTCGAAAATCACAAAACACACCATAATTTCATACCTAGATTTTGCAGAAGAGCTCCGATGACGGAATCCGATCGGGTGATTCGGTGGGTTTAGGGTTGGGTTTCTGATAAGGGTTCGGATCCAATTATCGGTTGAGAGAGAATTTGGGTAAGGATCCGAATATGACTTGGGTGGGTAGCCGAAAACGGTTTTGCAGACGAGGTAAATTCCAAATGGAAACAGAAACTCACTCTTTCGCCCCTAATCTTTTATAATTCTGTTCTTTTAGACCATAAAGTAATTTTGTCATCGAATTAGCCTCATCCTTTGTAGACATGATTAGCACAAAAATAATTGTGAGATTTGCGTTAGGCACCTGCACATTACCCTCTTGCTAGACCTTTGCACACTGCAGACAGAGAAACTACAATTCACTTCTTTTTTGTCTTTTCATATCAAGTATAATTCAATATTAAATTTTTTCTTATGAAAAAACTTTATTAATTAAGTTATAAGTTCAAGTGCAAATTAATATAAAACTTTAAAATCAAGTTGACAAGATTGAATCAAAGCTAAAATGTCCACACTGATATTGTTGTATGGAAATAACTTGGTTCATAAATCTAGTTTACAAGTTTTCAATACCCAATGAAAATATTAACTATTAGTTGTTTTTTTCATACTAAACCCCTTATATTTAAAAGTCATATTAAATCTTAACTAATTCAGAATTAAATCGTGTTACACCTCACAAGGTAAAAGCTCTCTTAATATATGTCTCTCCATTTAAAAGATTCAAATTTGAAATGTTATTTAAAAAAAATCATATTCTTTCCACTGGAATCAACATGTTATTGTTGATATTAACTGGTAGTTGTTGCCAAATAGTTAAACCAAATTAAAACTTAATAATACAAGTGCATACAGACCTTTAACCTTAATAGTTATAAGAACACTTGTAAATTCATCTTGTACAACAAATAGGAACAGTGAGGTCAGAGTCCATTCATGGTAGGAGTTTTAAAAACAGAAGAAGCAATTGAGTTAACCTCTATTTTAAAAACTTTGAAGCAAAATCATGCTTAAGCCGCAACTGTGTATCTCATTCCAACAAAATAGAAAACTTTATTTTTTAAAACATGCTACGTCATCTTCGACAGAGCACAGATTTCACTGGTACTTGACTCCTTCCTCACTCACCACCTCACCAATTCGATAGGCTGTGTATTCACTATTTGCTTCCTTTAGTATTCTATCAGATGCCTCTTTACTGACAACAAGGACCATACCGATTCCCATGTTAAAAGTCCGTCTCATCTCAGCATCTTCAATTCTTCCAGCCTAAATCAATAAAAAGAACCCAATATTTGACATGTGAGCATGTGAAAATTGAGATGCTACACAACATTTGCAATCAAAGAACCACCATAATAATAACATAGAAAAAAACGACATTACAGATATTGGCATGGCAGCTTAAAATTTCACATGTTTTCAAAATCGTAGTAAACAAACTATGGAGAAAATAAATCAAATCTATATCTACGGTAAAAAGAATAACGGTCCATGAAAAACATTTTACCTGCTGTATCCATTTGAATACAGGTGGGACTTCCCAAGAATCCTTGTAAATGACAGCACCAAGACCTTTTGGAAAGACTCGAGGAATATTGTCTGTAAAACCACCACCTGTGACGTGTGCTATTCCCTTCACCCCTCCTTTACCAATTAAGTCTAGCACCTGTTAGACAAGGAATATAAAGTTTACATTCAAGTGCTCATGAATTTTAAAGTGCTAAGAATAACCAAGGATGTCAAACATGGTTTTATGACCTGCTTAACATATATAACGGTTGGGGCCATCAAAGCTTCACCTAATGTAACTGCTTCACCAGGAAGTTGATCCTTTAAAGAAAGGCCACTTTGAGCTAAAACCCTACCAATTTATATAAACATTTTAACATTTAGTTTAAAGGCTACATCAGCAAAGACTCATTTTCACATTAACATATCCCAGAAGTACCATTTAACATTTAAGATAATGATGATGATGATCCCTTTAAAGTATTACTAACCTTCTTACGAGAGAGAAGCCATTTGAATGTACTCCACTAGATGGTAGGCCAATTAGAACATCTCCAGCTACAATGTTTCTTCCATCAATAACTGAATCCTTCTTAACAATGCCAACTGCAAAGCCACTAAGATCATACTCACCATCTTTATAAAAATCTGGCATCTCTGCAGTCTGGAAAGTAAATAAACTCATTACTCATAATGAAAGAAAAACTAACTGTTTAGAGTAAATATAATTCTTTATGAAAATTGAAGGGGAAGGGAAAACATTTATGCATTATGCAACAGTGATCTCCAACTCAAATGATAAACAAAGTCTAAACACTCATGTATATTTGCTAGATGAGTTTCAATATGGTTGCTACCACAACCACCTTATGATACATCGCAGTATAGCACCCTAGTTGTTGGCTTGGTTTGAAGAAAGAAACAAAATAAACTAACCCTTCAGGCCAAAAAGACATACACATGTCATCTTTTCAATAAGAATTCAGTCATTGCACTAAGAAAATGTAACAAATATAAATTAGAAGTTACGAACCTCTCCACCTAAAAGAGCGCAATCAGATTGTTGGCAACCATCAACAATGCCTTTTATAACCTATATGGGAAGGAAGGAAGAGGGTTATCACTTTAAAACTAGCAGCAGAAAGACAACCCAAAGACTTAAGTAACACAAGTACGAAAAACTATAGGTACCTTTTCAGCGAGATCAACATCTAGGTGACTTGTCGCAAAGTAATCAAGAAAAAATAATGGCTTTGCTCCTGAAGTAACAATGTCATTGACACTCATTGCAACCTGAAGTGCAATTGCATTAGCAAAGTGACTACAAATACAAAACATATAAGGACTAGTCCAAAGATTACCAAATCAATCCCAATGGTTTCATGGATTCCAGTTTCAAATGCTAGCTTGAGTTTAGTACCAACACCATCAGTACCAGCAACAAGGAAAGAATCACCTATAAATTTCAAGAAAATTCTATCAGCAATATAATAGAACCCACAAAACCAAAGACATTTTAGAAACACAAATGTTTCTATCTCCCATGTAGACTTAGAACACATGAAGGGGCGCCCAAATCTTTTACAACAATCACGTTGCTGATTAATTTGTTTGTTCCCATGAGCAAAAAGCCTAAAAATCTTATTCATTTTAATGACCCTCAACAATTTGCAAGTTTTTGATAATTGCCTTTGGCCACAAAACTTCAATTGAAATGTATACAGAGCCAATTCATTAAAAACTCAACAAGGTACAGAAGCAGAACAACCTATAAACAACACACTAAAGTAATTTGTGTGGATACATCCATTCTCCCAAAATGACAATGACATTACAATTGCATAATGATTCGAGGTAAAGATGAAGTTTTTTTTTCTCAGTTTTGTTGAGAAGTATGAATCAAAACAAACAAGGTAATCATACCAAGAGGGAAGAGACCACCGAAACCACCAATTCCAGGAGCCATCTTGGCGATTCTTCTAACAAGTTCAGTCCCAGCATCTATGTCCACACCGGCATCCTTATATGTGAGACCACCGGCTCCATCCGAATCCCTCTTCGATACGGCAAATACGCGGCCATCACAGCCGCTTACTCTTTCCGGCGCAGAAACGGAGACCCGCGGATGCCTCCGGGAGATGCAGTAGAAGGAACGAGTATAAAATTGAGTTCTAGAAGCCAAGGGTTCGGTAAAAGAATGTCTTATGGAAGCCGAAAGAGAGCGCAATGTCTCTGTGTTTGCAGTTGCAAAGCTGTTGGTCATGGCAGCGGCGAAAGAATCTAAGCTCCCGACGCAGAAGATAGTGGCGGTCAAGCAAAGCTATTGGCGGCGATGGGAAGAGAGGAACTGAGAAAGTAAAGAGCGAAAAATCGGGTTTTTGTTTTTTAACATATGATTACGTGCTATATATATAAAAGACGTCCTCTATTTTTTAATTTTTCTTAGTCTAACTTGAAAGTTAAAACTTTTAATTTAAAATTTAAAAATTTTAATTATTAAATCACTTCAATGAAAAAAGAGCGAAAAATCGGGTTTTTGTTTTTTAACATATGATTACGTGCTGTATATATAAAAGACATCCTCTATTTTTTAATTTTTCTTTGTCTAACTTGAAAGTTAAAATTTTTAATTTAAAATTTAAAAATTTTAATTATTGAATCAAAATTGAAGGGGAGAAAACGTTTTAACAATAAGCAAAAAAATAAAAAAAAATTCAGAAATGTATTTTACGGAACCATTTAGATTTTTGTAAGTGGAGTAATAATTAGGAGGTTCGTGTATCTTGAGGGGCAACGGTTTTAACTTTTTTAGAAAACAGGTATCAATTTAGTTTAATTAAATAAAAAAATTAATGTTTATTATTGGATTTATAAAAAAACTAGTTTTTTTAA